ACGTTCTTTTATAATTTTATACTGCGTTTATTCTGCTATTTCTAATAAGATTTTATGTATTAATTTAATATATGTCAATATAAATGTTTTGGCCTATAATGGTATATTTTATTTTAAGTATACAGTGACATTTCAATTTTAAAAAGTATTATAACAAATTTTCACAACACTGCCATATCAATCTTTCATAAATTGTATTTTTAGAGGTTATTGTTATTTGTTGCAATGAGCCAACTTGAGCAAATTCCATAGGAATGAGTAAAACTCAAAAAAGTATCAGTTGCTTCGTAAAACCGAGGTTTAACTATTAAAGTTGTATATAGTTGTATAAAGTGAATACACAGTTAAATAAGGATAATAAAATTCCTATATAGGTATATTTACGTCATTAGTAAAATAATATTTAATAATATTAGTATACAATAATAATATAAAAACAAAATCAAGGGTCTGGCATCTTCCTAGCTATTTCTTTAAGGGCATCGCTAACTGACAGCAACGCTTCAGGAATCTTTGCTTTCATAGTAGGCAACGGTATAATCACATACAGCCAATAGTGTAGGTTATTTTAAGATTAAAATAATTTGCTTGCAGAAAAATTAATTAATAACGTTGCAAATAATCAGCTGATCAATCTTTTTTGTAGTTTTTATTTATTAGTCTTGTTTTTGAAACGATTGACTATTTCAAAGCTTTACTCCTGTTTTATCGTAATGTGTTGAACAACTCTAATGCGGCGGTTACGTAGCTAACTTCAAGTGTCACCGTCGTCAACGCAACGCAATCGCCGGCCGATACCAATTTCAATCCAATTTGACAATATTGTTTTCAAGAGTACCGATTATAGTGACATTGAAATTGAAATTGGAATTGGATTACTATTGGATTGAAATCGGAATCGAATTCAAGAGTAAGGCCGCAGTCCATTTGTCAAAGATCTTGGCTTATGGATTGAATCCAGCCTCACTTGGCAACCACAGGTTGCGAACGTAAGTAAAAAAGTCACTGGAACCTTGCAATCACTGTATCGGCTAAATAACTTCCTTCCACATACTACCAAATTAATGCTTGTACAGGCTTTGATCTTTCCAATCATCGATTATGGTGATGTTTGCTACCTCGACCTGAATGCAGATCTACTCAACAAACTTGATCGTCTTCTCAATAATTGCATTCGATTCATCTTCAACCTCCGCAAATATGACCATGTGTCTGCCTATCGATCCCAGCTGTCATGGTTACCTATACGTCAGCGCTGTAGCTTGTGGGCCTTGACTACTCTTTATTCTCTTCTTAATAATCCTACAGCTCCTACTTATCTTACTTCACAGCTTAAACCACTATGCTCCAACCATGACAGAGATCTTCGGTCGACTAATAATCTTTTACTCTTGTGTCCAATACACACTTCTTCTCTTGTTCATTCTTCATTTGCTTTCCAATCTATCCTACTATGGAATGCGCACCCACTTGAGATCAGGATCTCAGGAACTCGCGACGCGTTCAAAGCTAAAGTCCGAGAATTCTACAGGAAACAGCAAGCAGAAATATCCTCATGATTTCGTCCCCTCTGACATTGTTGTATTTATTTCATTCCGAATGTATAATATATATATTAATAAATATTTATGTATTCGTCTATGTATTTTAAATAGTATTTTCAAATTAATGTTATATTTTCATAGTTTCTTCTTTTTATATGATACATGTGCACCTGCTATGCCCCTTACTGAACCATCTTAAGGTTGACTGGTAGATAACGCCATGTGGCATTAAGTCCGCCTCGTGCAAGTTGTAATGCAGGAAGTGTAAAAAAAATATAAAAAAAAAAATAAGGGGGTACCGCACGATCTCCTTTAAAGCGACGAGTCTCCTGGCCGGAACTCCACGGTGGGACCTGCCGGGTGAGAGCCTTTGCGGCTCTGTATCAGTGGCGAAAGGAGGCGCGGGAATTGGATCAGAGTTCTGAGTCTCGAGAAATTGAGGACCAGAAATTCCAACTCCGCCGGCTCCTCATGAAGGAGTGGAAGGAACGACTTGGGCAACCAAGTTTTTGCGGCGTTGACCCATTATGGAGGTTTTTTTTTAACTAAAATTTCGATTGGCTCGAGAGGCAGAGAGAGGGAGACATTTTATCTTTATATCTGCAATCATGGTACTAGCCGACACGAATCCACGCTTCTGCTCCACCCATCCACGGTCTGGCCATCGCAGTGGTGGCACTCAGGCATTGGCTCTTTGCGGATCAGACACAGGTGATCACCGAAGCATCCTTTGCCGGTTCAATGTATGAAACTAGTGGGTTGCAAAATTTCCACGAATAAATAGTTATTTCAGATGAAAATAATATGTAACATGTAAAATCTTAAATCTTTCCACAGAGTCATTTTTGACATAAGTACTGCGGCAGCGTTGAAATTCTATAATTACAAAGGAGATGTCAACTTTTTGTATGGACGTTAGTTTTTTTTTCCGAGTAAAGTCCATATGGCTCAAATTACACTGTTCTTAATATAGCAGCTAAAATTAGGAATTGGAAATTAGTTGGATAACAATTTTTAAAGCCTACATTTAAGATAAAAATAAAAGTTTATTGTTGTTGTTGAAACTTTTATTGGAGGACGGTAATAATAAATATATTATACAGAGAGTTTCATTTCCTTTCCCAAATACTTAAGCCACATATTCTGCCCTTAATTTCTAGGCGATTTGCAAAATATGAACAAAATATATCCAGTAGTTTAGCCACAGGACTCATTTTTGTGTTTCGTAAATTGCAACATCATGTGTACATGCAGTCATAATACATTGACCTCAGGCGGCGATCAGCTGTAGGTATACGCGGCGCGGTAATCACACGTTGCCGCTTTTACTACACCCGAATCGAACGAAATATGTTGATTATTACGTCATCACGATGCAACACGCGTTTTTAATTAGTTCATCCAGTAAGGACAGTCAGTCGGCCCTTGGCCACCGGCGAGCTTATGCTATTCCGTATCCTTGTAGATGCGCTCACGACAAATAACCGTAATAATAATATTGTTGTTGTTTATGAGATACATATTTGTTTAGAGAAGTTTTCTTGTGGTAATAATTGTTTAGTCTTATTGCTTTCGTCATAATACACGGCAATGGTGTGAACAATTAATGTTATCGTGTGCGCAAGACTTCGTAATGTAAGGAGTCCTGCTAATTTTATTTTGCAAAGTCACTATTAGGTTCTGTGTGTAGTGTAGTGTGAAACTGAGTGCATTATCAGTCTTTTAATTTTATTGGGTTATCGATATCAACATCCATAATGCCGTGAGTGACCTTCACAGCCGCGGAATATCCTGCTATGATGTTAATTTATGGAAAACTCTATCAAAACGCATCTTTTGCTTTACGGACACGTATGGAGTCAATCGTGTATGTCCTACAGACTGCCGAATTTTTGTAAGGGCGGTACAAAGATTACGAGACAACCAAGGTAACTACTTTTTCAAGGAGTGACGCGTACTGCTGCGTCGGAAGCTAGTCGAGCATTCACGAAATAAACACGTGAATAAAATCGCATTCTTTATAAATAGATTTTTAAAAGCAAGTGAAGTGATTGGTAGGTAGGTAATAAAGCAGCGTCCACACTATGCCGGAGTATGCCGGGCGAGGCCGAGCGGGCTGACCCGGGCATAGTGTGGACGCTGCTTTAGAATGTAAAGTTCGCCGGCTCGCGGCGGCGGCGGCGGCGGCGGCGGCGTCGTTTTGATGTCGCCGACATTGCGACGCTGCCGTGTAGGTACAGTTCACCGACTCATGTTATCAATGGTGTTCTAATTCGGAAATTATTTTATTGTATTTAGTTTGTTCTAAATTTGCATTTCTGTATTTTCGTACTAATTTTTTATTTTTTTATTTTAACCGACGTATATTGAACCGTGTTATCTGTTATTTCATTTTTTTGTGATATCTATACCGCCACAGTGTATAATACTGCTTATTCACAAGATAAATCATTATTAGGTAACGCTTTTCTCCTAACCATGACTACTATCAATTTATCTTTTTATTTTGTAGAAATCTCACAACTCTACGTAGCATACTCAAAGTAAACATAATCGTCATCCTTATGTTACGCGTGACGCGTTAGAGACAATTGTCTTTTTATTGGGAATCCGTAGCAAAAGTTTTATTCGTATTCGCCCTTAAAATATGCCAAAGTAAAAACGATGTTTTTCAAAACACTGCAGTTTTGAAAAAACATCGTTTTTACTTTGGCTAAAAATTTCATTTTACAATATAATATCTGTTTTTAGGAAGTCTATTCAAAAATATTTAGTTCACGTCCTTACTCTGGAATTCGATTTCGATTTCAATCCAATAGTAATCCAATTCCTATTTCAATGTCACTATAATCGGTACTCTTGAAAACAATATTGTCACATTGGATTGAAATTGGTATTGGCCGGCGAATGCGTTGCCTTGACGACGGCGACACTTGAAGTTAGCTACGTAACCGCCGCATTAGAGTTGTTCAACACATTACGAATAACCAGGAGTAAAGCTTTGAAATGGTCAATCGTTTCAAAAACAAGACTAATAAATAAATACTATAAAAACAATTGTTCGGCTGATTATTTGCAACGTTATTAATTAATTTTTCTGGAAGTAAATTATTTTAATCTTAAAATAACCTACACTATTGGCTGTATGTGATTATACCGTAGCCTACTATGAAGTGGCTAACTTTACAAGCGATAAAAGTGCTCCCATTTCAAAATTCCGAAGCGGTAAATTGGACAAGTAACTTATTGTTCCTATTCCTAACAAATTATTAGTTCCTATTTCTATTAATATAATATATTTTGTTCCCATTTGGTTGGAATAATTCTATCAATTGGTAAGTAAATATTTACACAAACACCCTTACTATTTTAGAGAGATAGATGTTCACGCGAAATAAAATAGTGTAATCCATTATTCTTGTTTTATACAATAAAAGTCTGGTCTTTTTAGTAACAATGACAAGTCGCCCAAGTTATTGTCAATTGGAAGGTTTGGTCGACTTCCTTGAGCAAAACCCGAGCATTGCTAAAGGTTTGCTTCGGACTTTTCAAGCAAAGCTTGAAACCAAAGAAAAGTGGGCGTCATTGGCTACGAGACTTAATGCTCTTGGAGGAGCTATTAAAGACGGTCAAGGCTGGGCTAAGGTAATGTCTTTCAAATTGATTATGACTGCGATTGTTAGTATATTTTTACACTACTAAGGTAACAAGAAAGCACACGGCTCCAGCACAGGCTAAAGTGATTAGAGGATAATGGGAAAGGCAGAGGTATCTTAGGTTACCCACATTAATCTGAAGTGATAGATTAAAGGTTGTGCGTTTCCGGTTTCCGGTCGAGTTGTGTCTATTCGTGCTGAGAAATGCATGGCTCTCCCACCTAACAAATTGCCAATTTATTATTATATATGAATGTTTTTAGTATTGGGCTGAGAAGAAATGGGCGCTGAAAAAACAATGGCGCACAGGAGGTGGGGCAGCTGACAGCTTGCCAGTATTGTCGGCTTTAGATAGAAGATTAGTGGCGGTGATGGGCGGGCTAGACTTCGCTGCTAGCGATCAAAATTTAAGGGTGAATCCATTTCCTGAATTGGTAAAAATAGTTTTCACAGATATGTAATATCCAATTTTTTCCATAACAATTATTATATTACCAAATACCCCAAATCGCAGGTTAGTGCAGCTCAGGATTCGAGGTCTTGTAGGCCAGCCCTCGAGTCTTCTGTTATTAGTGGAGATTCAGATATGCAGCACAGTATGCAATCTATAACAGAAGACCCTGGCCCCTCACGCATACCTCGAACAAGAGTCACAAGTAAGTTTTTATCAAACTTCTTGAAAAATGCAAAACATTCTTTTTAAAAACTAGTAAGGCCTTATAGACGATATTGTTGTATTCTCGTTCCACTACTAAGTAGTAATAATGAATAAACGGTAGTATTTTTCATCAAGTTTTTTTCGAGTTACAATAATTAAATTCGAATATTATTACTATTTTATCATGGAAGTTTAATTTGTGTTAAGTTTGTTTAATCAATAAAATAATCAACAAATAAAATCAAATTTATATTAAGTAATTGTGTTTGTTACATTTTAGTGCCTGCATCATCCACCCCGCTTCCAAGCAACATACCCAGACCACGCCGGCGTGTTGTAAGAACCATGGACTCTGACATGGAACGGTTCTCAAACATAGAAGCCCGACGCGTAGAAGCGGAGATGACAGCAGCCCAAGCACTAGCAAAGATTGCTGAAGCATTGCTGTCAGTTGGCGATGCACTTAAAGAAATAGCAAGGAAGATGCCAGAACCTTGATTTTGTTTTTATATTATTATACTATTATTATTAGATATTATTTTACTTATGACATTAATATATACCTATATAAGAATTCTATTTTCCTTATTTAACTGTGTATTCATTGAGAATAAGCGTAAATGGAAATACAGAGTGTATGTCTAAGCCCAATTTACCTAATAGCTATTTACTATTTTATATTTGCAAGAAATGAACAAAATGGCTAACTCAGATACCAAGAATATCTTAACACTTAAAACACAACTTTAATAGTTATACCTCGGTTTTATGAAGCCACTGAAACTATTTTTGAGTTTTACTCATTCCTATGGAATTTGCACAAGTTGTCTCATTGCAACAAATAACAATAACCTCTAAAAATACAATTTATGATAGATTGATATAGCAGTGTTGAGAAAATTTGTTATAATACTTTTTAAAATTGAAATGTCACTGTATACTTAAAATAAAATATACCATTATAGGCCAAGACATTTATATTGACATATATTAAATTAATACATACAATCTTATTAGAAATAGCAGAATAAATGCAGTATAAAATTATAAAAGAACATCATATAAAATTTTTCCTTAAAAACTAAAATCTTAACACAAGTTGTTAGAATTTAAAAATGTTAATCATTACATAGTTTTACAAAATAAATATGCATAATATTTGACTTTATTCATAATAATATTAACCTAGTAAAAAACATCTTCATTATTACTATTTAAATCAATTAAATGTTGTTTCACAGAACTTTGATTTCAAACAAAACTATCATGAGATGCTCCTCCAATGGATGCATCAAGTGACAGTATTTTTAAATCTGCATCACATATCTGTAAACATAAATTAAAAAATAGAACTAAATTATACTCTAAATAGTTATTTAGTTAATAAAAATTTCATCAAAATAAGTGTTTACAATCATAACATTTCTAGAGTGGAAATGTTTGCGAATAAAAAAATCTTTCCTCATGTTCCCTAATTGTTGGTTTAATTATGGCCACATGAGTGCCATCAATACATCCTAATACTGATGGGATCCGGTATTTTTCATAAAACCTGAAACAAAGTATTGTTTAATATTATTATAGTAAAGCTATTACATACAAATTCAAAATACTTTTATTATAGTTATAAGCCTAATACATACAATAGACACTTAGGGAGTAGGCTACTTCTAGCAATATTATACAGTATTCTAGATAAGTAGAACTTTTACAGTACCTTGTTTTGATAGCATCTCTTTCTTGGTGGGTTTGAGGAAACCCAATCCATTGTTTTTGAACATAATGGTGATTGAGAGCTGCTGTAACCTCTTTGATGGCACGAGATACAGATTGTTGCAACATCAGAGTGCCATATGTGCCTCCAACCGGCCTTTTGTAACTTCCAGTCTCAAAAAACGATAGTGCCGCTAGAATCTACAATTTGGATGAAAATATTAAGTTAATCTTCTCACAAAAAAATAAGTATGTACACCTTACAAGTATATCAGTTCTTCTCTTAGGAGTTGGCATAAAAGGCTTTATATTTTCAGAAATTTCCTCACATAAATTTTTGTTCACTCATTAATTGGCTTTAAATTCTTCCTCACTCATAGAGAACGCCTTCTCCGTATATCGCATCATTCGACGCTCATTTCGTCTCAGTATTAACACATTTTTTAGTTTTACTTAAAAAATTGTACATTACTACTAAACGAGCCATATTATCCACTTATAGTTACTGTTCAGTTAAAACACACGACACGTGAAACAATTGCAAAAAGTTACACTTCGGCTATTGAGAAAATCCCAATCTCCAAACGATACGAACTTAAGTTATCGCTGTCAAACAAACTGTCAAAAAATTCAAGAGTAGCGAATTCGTGTGGCGATTGGTAATTTAGATTTCAGTTTGTTCTCCAAATCGTCACCCAATTTGATTTCAATATGGCACTAGTGTCGTATTCAAGAGTACGAAACTTCAAAATTCCAATGTCGATCGATCGGAATCGCATTCAAGAGTTAGGCCCAACAAACAAGTTTATTCAATGAATGTTCAAGTAGAAATATGTATATAATTTTAAAAAAAACGTCAATGTACAGATTGTTCAGCGTCGTTGTCGCGTCCCTCGCTGTACGTACTTACCTACTTCGTACGTATTCCATGCGCTAAGGTTATAGAAAGCGGTTATACGAGTAGAAATTGTGGAGTCGATATGTATGCAGGTAAATACCAGCACGCTAAAAAAACAGTATAACTTTGCCTCCAGGTCCCTTAAAAGAGCTATTACTAGGGCGAAATCGGAGCACATTAGCCGGATCGGTGAGAGACTAATGAGAGTTCCTTCTGGAACTCGTGCATTCTGGTCTCTTGCCAAGGCTGTCCAGGGGAATTTCTGTAGCCAATCCTTTCCACCATATTTGCATATAGGAGATAATTCGTTGGTCTATGATGCAAAGGAGAAAGCTGATCTCCTAGGCAAATTCTTTGCATCCAACTCGACTTTGGATGACGGGGGAAACGTACCACCAACCATACCGTAGTGCCAGAGCTATATGCCGGATATTCGGTTTACACAAAAATCAGTGCGTAAAGCACTTTTTTCCCTCGACATTCATAAGTCGTGTGGGCCCGATGGAAATTTCTCCTATCGTGTTGAAGACGTGTGCTCCGGAGTTGGCACCGGTTTTAACGCACCTCTTTCGTCACATAGCACAGGAGATGCCCTTTATACCGGCCGCCCCAACATTTCTCGGGAAAACGTCCGAACGAAACTTCCTTTGCGGGGCCGACTAAATCTAGTCCAGTTTAACCAAAAAAGACATAGGTATGTGCGTTCACCGCAAAAAAGATACCATTTGTCGTATCACATCAGTTTGAGAGCACCTCCCTAACTGCCTCAGCCAGCATCGGAATCCTAGGCATCGACATATCGAGCGAAGTCCAGTTTCGGGGTCACTTAGAGGGTAAGGTCAAATTGGCCTCGAAGAAGCTCGGTCAGAGCGAGGCAGTATTTCACTCCGGCCCTCTGCCTTCAGCTCTATAAGGCGCAAGTCCGGCCGCATATGGAAACCCGTTCTCATCTCTATGCAGGGGCACCTCAGTACCAGCTTCTCCCTCTGGACCGCATCCAACGAAGAGCGACTCGAATCGTCGATAGCCCAAACATCTCCGATCGGCTCGATCCCTTGGCGTTACGTAGAGATGTAGCTTCACTCTGCATTCTCTATCGCATATATCATGGAGAGTGCTCCGAGGAATTAACTACTAATAAATAATTAATTACTAATACCAGCCGCAAATTTCCGCCATCGTTCCACACAGCAAAATTTTCATCCTCATTACCTGGATAGTTGGCGCTCCACTACTGTGCGCTTTTCGAGACACTTTTTGCCCCGCACAACCAATCTGTGGAACGGGTTAACGTCTGCGGTATTTCCGGACCGATACGACCTTCAAACCTCAAAACCAAAAACCAAAAGAGCGTACTCCTTCCTAAAAGGCAGGCAACGCGTTTGTGACTCCTGAGTTGCAGACGTTCATGTGCGGCGATAGTCATTTTCCATCAGGTGACCCGTCTGCTCGTCTGCCCCCTCTAACATAAAAAAACAAAACATTTTTCTCAGGAATGAATAGTTTTTAGAGTTCTGTATCCAAATAGTGCTAACGGGACCCTATTTTTGTTGAAAATTATTCAAATCACAGTAGCTAACTGCCACTTTATAATTTTGTTCTGGTTATTTTGTAGGCTTGTTTTAAAATTCTAGTTTATTGCATTACTTTGATCATATGACAAGCATCTAAGAATACCATTACATTTTGTACCGAAATTAAATGTTTAGTTTTTAAATTGGTAATAACATTCATACGACATCCTAATAATTTAATTGTCAGAAGATTACTTTTACATTAATCGATGTCAAGGAAATTACTCTTACTATATCTTACTAAATAATAATAAAAAAATCAAAAATAATAATAGTTAAAGCAATGGCACGGTGTGCGTTACCCCAGCAAAATAATGTCGAAAATGGTCATTTAAACGTTATAGATAATTAGTTGCTCCCCTTCTGTAATTGTTAGGCACATTTTTAAATTTGTTTCACTTAAACTTTTTTAGTTATTTCAAAAAAAAAATTCCTGCTGGGGTAACGTTTGAAACGTTACCGCAGCCAGACATTTTCTTTTTTAATTGTAATATTGAAATAAATGTTAGCTAAATCTCGCCTGATTGAAGGATCTTTCGCTTGTGTTGTACCCACAAGTAGTCTGTGGTCCGCGAGCGGTCTTCTGCCGCATTCGCAACGCGCACACACCACCACCCGAGTTTTTAAACCGTGAAACGTCACGAGTCCGCGCTAGACAGCTCTGTTCATACTATTCCTTAAAAACAAACACGCTTGCATGCACATAGCGCAAGTTTCAGCGTAGGCCTTCAATGCAACTGTAAATAAACATGCAGCTTTTGGAAAAATCTTTCCAAACTTGTGGGTACTTTGGGGATTTTTGAAAACTGTTCTGATGATATTATGTAAAATTGTATATTAATAAAAATATTAGAAAGTTGACAGAACACCCAGACTCAGAACAATTTGTGGATCACACTAAGTGTCGTCCCATGTGGGGATCGAACCCACAACACTCAGCGAGTAGTAAGCGGCGTGGCGGTCGCTTAGTCCACTAGGCCTTCCATGCAGTCGAATGATGTGTCGAAGTCGATTGATGTGATAACATACGCATGCGCAATTCGCATATTTGTAGGACAGATAAAAACTAAAATCTGAACCCCACACAAAAAACTGAGTCAAATCCCTCTTCTGATTCTGGGGTGAGAGAATGAAAGGGTTGGCAATACACTTGTTCAGTGTACATGAGCAGCGGTACTCACTCACCTGATATGTACGTACATACGTGACTACCGCCTGAAGGTGACACGTTTGCCAATTTGCTCCCCTTTTTACTTCTGTGTGGAAACCCCCTTGGATACCACCCAACAGTCAGATGGTTATGTCGGACACGAACTGGTCAAAAACCGCACGCCATCTCGGGCACCAGTTGCTGGTCAACCAGGTGTACCCTATAAAGGAAATCCCTGGTACCCCGACGACGACGGGCCATCGACGGCGTGTAGATGACCCCGTCGATGGCCCCTCCTATGTAAGAACCCCTATGTCCCCTTTGTGATCCAGAAAAAGCGCACGTGCATCTGCTAGGTTGACAGATGGCCTCACCTATCACCCCAGGCCTGCGCTTATGGAGATTGTTCTGCTCCCCTAAACCATAAAAAAATAATTCAAGAAGCTACATGAGTATTCTCAAGATCTTGGCCGATATGGGGTTCAAAATGATAGAAATAAAACCCCACAAATATGTTTTCATTTATATTGAGTAAACTTAGAAAAAGAAGCCTAAAATTTTGCCTCCAAGATGTTTCCTTCTAGCTTCTTCATGGTCCATGATACCACCACTGGTTGTCAGAACGAGGTAACTGGAAATTTAAAAAAAAAATATTTTATCACCACACCTATTTTATTAACACACAAAAACATAATAGAAACCATGGAATGAATAAATTTATGAATTAGGTTGGTAAGTTGAGATAATTAAAATGTTGATGTTCCACAACAGAAGGGACAACTGTCAATTTGAAACATTAATAATTTAGTAAATGTCAAAACTTAAGTTTATATTATACAGAGGTAAAGTTTGTGAGTTTGTATGTTGCGGGTAATCTCCAACACTAAGGGTTTCATTTGAAAAATTCTTTGTATTAAAAAGCCCTTTTATCGAGGAAGGATATTAGCGTCATAACATCATTCTACAACCTATATCAATCAAAGAGGCAAAGTATCAATGAAAAAAGTTACGAAAACAAGGAAAAAGTATTTCTTTTGAGAGAAGCAGACTAAGTAGTAGCTAGTATGAAATAACAAGGCATTTTGTCACACCTTGGGGTTACATTCAGTTGTAATAATAATCAAAATTAAGAATAGGTAACATGTGGTAAACAATATATTTTTATTGTAACTATTGAAATGCATGTATCCTAAATCAAGCATGTATAAAATACCACTAACAATATCCACTCATTTTGAGAAGACATCTAATTGTGATATTTTAAATTTATTATAGCACAAATTCACAAATGACAACCAACAAGAGCTATTGGCGATCCGCGGTTTTTGTGCATGAACTCATAACTACAGCTATTAGGACATTAAATTTACCAATGGTACACAATGGATGAATGCATCATTAGTCAAACAAGTAGAAAAAAAAAAAACACTTTACAACAAAACATAGGTTATAATGACTGAACTACTTTCTAAAATATTCAATATCTTGTTTGAATAAATATATATAAGTAACCTTTGTTGTAAGTAGGCAGCAAACTACATTTTTGACCAAATTTCTGAGTTATTAGTTCCTTAGGTTAGTTGGTTATTTAAGATTGATGAAGTTATTTCAACCTCTCTGTATTGTATACCATGTACTTAATAGCATATAGGTAATTTTTTTGTATTTAAGAAGAAATTGTTAACTTACCCAAACTGTCGGGATGGAAGCAAGTTAGTCCACCTCTCGATGTCATTAATTGGAACGTCGAAGCGGGGCGATATCACACCACATTTGTTTAGTCTCCCGGTGAGATTGACAACAATCTTGCCAGCTCTGTGATCATCGACAATTTCAAATTCGCCAATATAGCCGTGCTTCATCATTACAGTTAAAAACTTGACAATAACTTTGGAACAAGGCCTGATGAGCACTTGACGCTTGCCGCGCTTCTCGGCATTGTGAATTGATTTTAGAGCATCACTTAATACATTCATACGCACCATGGCTGAAATAACATAAATTAAGATAAATTATAGAGTTAATAATAGGTAATTTTTAAAACCTCAACTTCACATCTACACGAAATGTCAAAACACCGTGAAACAATAAAGGTTATCACTGAATATTACTTCTGAAACCTGAAATAATATATACCACGGGGAGCACAAATTTTACTTTTGAATGTGAAATACTTTTCTCGTAATAAAAAGCTTCAGATATAAAGATTACCTAGGATTTAATGCCCGCCTCAGCGAACCGAAATGACAAAACACTCCGAAAGAAGTAAATTAGTGTTGTGTCAAAAGGGGTGCTAACGACAATCGACTATTTACGATAGACATGGGACAAAAAGACAATTCGATTTTTACGATCTCACAACTGTCATTTAAGGTATTTTCGTAGTCAGTGTGGTTACGGATTAAGAATACACAGTACACCACCCCTATTCATCCCGTGGGTGTCGTAAGAGTCTACGCAGGACAACAGCACTGCAGAGAGAAGGCAAACTTGAAACAAACCCTATACCAACCCGTCTGGGCAGCGTGGTATAATAGGCCAAAACCTCTTTTCTAAGGAAAGGCCTATGTCCAGCAGATGACCAGTAAAGGTCGTTGATGTGATATGATATGTGATGTGAAAATATTAAAGTATTACTAAGACTAGCAGATTACCGATTCAATTTTCGGTTACACACACACAATTTCGGTTACACACACACAATTTCGGTTACAATACGATATAATCACATTACAGTCAACGTTGGATATTTAATAATTTATTACGAAAATACCTTTTATGACAGTTGTGAGATCGACAATTGATTGGAACTGAATTGAGACTAAACTTGTATTACGAGAATTGGCCTTCTGGTTGTCTTTTAATTTCCGTACTTTAAAGAAAGTTGATGATGAGTAGTAAGTTGATCATTCTCGTCGACAACAAAAGATACCATACAGCTATGGACCTGTAAATAGTTCGAGGGATCCGAGAGGTCACCTCTTTAGGGATCGTGTGCACTAAAGTTATCATCCAGGACTTCAGGACTTATTTCAAAATTCTCTCAAAACGAAAGAGAAGAAAAAAATTGACCAGTTGTATAACGTTAGTTTATAACGATTATCTTTACACATCATGATACACAGGCATATTTTTTTTGTTATTAATTTATTACAATGCTTTGTTTAAACAATATTATGAATTTATTCTTATTTAAAATATCATATACAAAAAAATATACATATAGTCAAACATTTTATACACCATATACCACCATTACGTTTGATGCTGAGAAGCGGTCTTTTACACAGTAATAGAAGAACGATCCATCTTATGAACACTTAGTATTACATACGATAATATACAATTATATAAAATAGTAATATTTTAACCTATGACATATTGTTATTATGTTTACTTTTTGACCTTATGGATGTAACTTTGCCTAACATGTAATATGTGTATATTACATGAAACAAATACTTACCTTCTACCACTTTTATGTTATATTGTTAAATTTGAACCTACCACAGAGTGTAGTAAAAGTGTGCTACACCGTCAGCGGTTGGTGACGAACTAAACGATGGGAGAGTTTGTAAACAGCACTAAAGACTACAGGCCACGCTATGCCACGATTTTTTTTAAATATACCCAAAAAACCGTCAATTTTCCGATTGCGCGCCACGATAGATGGATTCGTTCACCACTGTATACTATTGTCCCGTGTACGCAATAGGGTAGATGACTGTCAGGTAAATTCATTTTTTTTTAACCGTCACAACGCTAGGCGCGGTACATTTTTATGTGATATACTATTTCGTGACGTCATACCTAGCTATTGTAAAATCATTAACAGTTCAATATTTTTATCAAGGTATCAAATCAATGAAAAAGTTATATTGATAATGGAGGACAATTCAGGCTCTACAATTGATATTAAACCAAAAAATTTAAGATAAGACCCTATGGCGATGGCTTGCAGTGGGCCAACATGGATCATAGTGAACTGGGTCCTTAAAATACAAATTTAATATTTTTTTAAATTATTTTTATTCATGACCATTACAATTTTCATCAAACACAAGTGTTACCTGTTTTTACCAGACTAATAGACTAAAACAAAGTATAGTAATAGTATTGCTGTTGATTCAACAGCTTTTTTCCAAATTCAACTTTCCGGCGCCAGTGAAACAAGCAATATAGCATAACAGTAAGGTGCCACTCCCAACCCTGTTTTAAAATATGTAGTTTTTGGTGTGCCAAATTCTACCAACTTGCTTTACAAATATTTTAATCTTAGCAACACTGTCAAACCGTAAGTTTTGCTGAACAAGTGAACACTGAACAAATTAGAACGCGTTTCGCTCGTTGAGAAGTTGTCGCGTCCTTCACACGATTGTGCAATGAAGTTTAGAAAACTTTCGAAGTTTATAATAACTTTACAAATTTGAATTATACTAAAATAGATGTTTCAGGCTGCTAAAGGGACATAAATGTGATATGAGCACATCTTAATTATGTAAAATAGGTGCAATATTTATATATACAAAGTTGAGTGAACTTAGTGAGTAATCCGTACCTTGTCCATAGTTGCAAGGCGAATTCCACAGGTGTTTAACGATTGTTGTGGTCACTAACTCCTAGCAACAGTATTTAAAAATGACATGTTGTATGCAGTTTTATGTTGTAATGTAATGGTGTGAAGAAAAGTTTTAGATAATGTAGACATGCAATAAGTGCGAACTAGATATGTACAAGAAAACTTAACGTGTCATGGAAGAATTAGAGCGGTGGTTCAAGATGAGTAGTAAACAGTATTATGGAAGTTTTCTTCTATTACTTCTTATTTTTCACCCAGCATCGTCAATAAACACTACAAGTAAGTTTTACTATAATTTATTCTTAAAGTTTTTTATTACCATAATTGTATAGGTACAATAGATTTTTCTTTAACACCGATTTTCTGTATACATTTAATCGTTAATAGTAGGGATAATAGGATACTACAAATATTCCATAAACCTTTGTAGTTACTTTTGAGGTAGGTAGCTCTAAGGTATTAAAATAAAATGAATTTGTTACCATAGGCTTCAAAATTCAGAAATAATGTTTATTTTTATTGTTATCTATGCATGCTTCATAGTACTAAGAAGGCAAACTAACATACCAACATACCTCCTTGATAGGAAAGGGTTGTTGTTGTCTTGAAGTCTATGCAAAACTATACAATCAATTTCTGGTTTCGAGATTGCTTCAGCAAAGCACCAATTTATTTTATTAGTCTAATATTAATATTTTTGATGTTTCTTAAATATTAAAATATATAAAAAAACCTTTGTACCCTTTTATACAAATGTAGTCCACGGCAGCATATCTTAATTGGAATACTTAATGTTTAAATGATGAGAAAGTTATGATTTTTATTAAAGACTACATTGCAAGTGTACAATAAACACAGGGATTTAAGACCGAGTACAATCTATCACTGTTGAGGCCAAGGTATATGATAAACCAATAGTAAATAGATATCTGCCATTCCCAATTTAATATTATTATTTGTGACTTCTATTTAAGTAATATGTTTATTTTTAAATTGAATCTTCATTACAACAACATTTTGTTAAGCCTAACAAATTGATTGAGCAATTGAGATTGAATTTGGTTTTGAAACCATATTACTTGTGATTCGTCAAGTGCAGGTGGCCTTTTCTTCTTGTTTGCCCTCCTTGCTCATTTTTTATGGAGTATTAAAAAAAAGGGGTTAAAGGCACTTGAAAAGTAATAAAAATGTGGCTGATTAAGATACAAAATGAAAGAGGGCATTATACGTATTTTATTTATAACTTTATGCACATTTGTACATCGGCGGACTTAATGCCTAAGGCATACTCTCTCAGTCAACCCTTAGGTAGTGTAGAAATCGTGAGTGGTAGGCGCATTTAGGTTAAAACACTAATCACTAATATATACACTACACAACACAACACATAATTTTATACACAAGCAAATACACACTATACACATAAATACACAAACATACAAACATATATTCGCATTATATTCGTACACCATGAGTGTAGGAAAATTGGCTGCTACACTATCAATTCGATGATTCTGCCATCTCATTAAGAAGAAGGTTGTGTACTTTCTTTTTAAATACGGATTGGTTTGTGGACATCCTGACTTCAACCAGAAGCGCATTCCAGAGTAGAACTGCTTGAAAGAAGAACGAAGAGTTCACAAAGTCGGAATTGTAAGAGAAAGAGAAAGAGAAGCAAATTATTTGCAGAGCGAATATTCCTGTCGTGATTAGACAACAAGAAGCGGAGGTAGGCAGCAAGGTAAGTAGGTGAGAATGGGAGGTAAGAAATGAATGTAAAGAAGTCAGAGCTCCACGTAACCAGTTCCAGCCAGTTATATGTAGATTAGTTTGCAGAGAGAATGTCCTGTCTGAATGTATGTGTAACAGCCAAATATATCTATAAAAAAAATCCTATTATAAGACTACTACATCTTTAATTCAATAATAATCTAGAAGTTTGACTTGGTTAAGATTAATTAATGGAATATTAAAAACCATCGTGATTAATGTCCTTTGACATGCCCTTTTCCAATACCTCTAATATTTGGGGTTGGTGCTAAGTGTAATTTTGCAAAAAGTTTTGTTGGTTTCTTTTTTAGCCCGCCGAATGCTAGTCACAAATCCTTTTGGGAATGTAATCGCTTCCTGACGATACAAAAGAAGAATGAAAATTTGGGTAAGAGTAAGGGAGCAGAGTATGACACTGCCATAGCTCGTGGGGTTGCGTACCCGTGATCAGTTTGATCAAAAAGTTTCAAAACCAGGAACCACTCTATATCCATCTTGTAATTGGAGAGGGAA